TTTCTACTTACTGAAATAGTCTGTGTTCTCATGGATTTGCCTTGAAAGATATCTGAACTCACAACATATATTAATCAAATACTTTTATCGGTTTTGTAGAGCCAGAGTCCCACCTAACATTGTATCTCACAAACTGAAAACCACTGGTATAGTGTGAAGAGCACGGAGGATGCCCTGGTATAGTGTGAAGAGACCGGGGCCGAATCCTGGCCCAGCCACTTGGTAGCCAGTGGCTTTGGGCATGTCACATGTCATCTGCCCTCCAGGCCTCCAGGTTGGTAGCTACAAAATGGAGCCAATCATGCCTACTTAACAGGGATTTTTATCTTGTGAGAAATCATAATGAATCTAAGAGGCAATAAATATCAGTAACTAGTTCTCTCTCCCTACCCCACCCCTACCCCCAAGGTGTACAGGTAGCATTAAATGGTCTAGACCTCTCAGTCCCCCTTGTGAGCAAAGATATTATCCGCATGCCAGACAGTAGCTGGGCACTGGGCAGAGCTAAGGCCCAGGGCTAAACCACCTTGACCTTAACTACCATCAGCGCCCTCCTCTGACAACAGAGCCAGCCGACACCTGGGATCCTTTGAGAGCAGTGCTAGCCACACAACAGGCACGTGGCGGGGGTATCTCTGCGTGTGAGCTCATGTTTTCTTTATACAATATCTGCTGTTTTCTCCACTCGCCTGCTGTCGCTCTCCCGTGGCTGCTCCAATAGCCCAATCACAGTTACTGGAGTTGGTGAAGAATCCTGTGGAACGTGTCTCTTTAGCAGCTGGTCCGCTTCTCCGCTCAGAGGAGCGCCCTCCTCCATCAGCACAAAGCAAGCAAGTGGGAGCTTGAGCTTCTTGCCACCTCACCTGGTGCCCCTGAAAGTTGCAGCCGCTTTGCAAATAGGTTTCTTGGCCCCAGAGGTTGAGGGAGGTTTGTTGAGAAGCTGGCCTTAATTTCTCACTTGTTGGAAAATGACCCAAAGCAGGAGGAGGCCGGGCAATTGTGCAAATTCCATCTGCTTACCGAGCAGAAGCTACCAGAGCCCTCAGATGAAGTGATAAGCATTCCTGGGGGACACCGTGTTTAACAGTTTTCGTTGTAACATCGCTCTGAGGCCCAGCATTCCTGCGCCACCAACCTGAAGGGGCCTGGGAGAGCCAGGCGAGTGCTTGCCAGCTGCGTGCAGGGATTCAGCTCTAGCCTTCTCTAAAAGGCAACCGTAAAGTAACCCCAATAGCTGGGGAACCTCAGCTTCCCAGCCTGTCCCAGGATAGTCCTGCTTAGAGTTCTTTGGGCATGGCAGGCTAAAAAAAAAAAAAAAAAAAAAAAAAAAAAGAATTTTGTCCCTGCCAGGAATGGCCACTGGAAGTCTGGTCTGTGGACACCGGACACCGATTCTGAAAGATTTTTTTGGAAGGGAGCCTGCAGCAACTCTCCTAATTTGCATTCGGAGGAAACGTGCCACATTTTCCACAGCGGGCAGCCCCGCCAACACCACTGGGAGGGAGGAAGTTCTCTCTCAGTGTCCGCAGGTTTATCCCTAAATGCTACGGAAATACACAGCTGCTAGGCAAGAGGAGCAGAGGATGGAGAGTCTTCAAACTCTCAAATAAGTTGGATATCACAGTCATGACCTAAAAAGGCAAAGACTGGCTATTCCGAGGCTTGCTGCGCATGCCGCCTGCACGCAGCAGCAGGGTATGTGGTCACTTGGCCATTGTGTTCAAGCCCGCCAGCCACCCGGCCTTATACCCCAACCACCCCGTGCAGCCAGCTGCTTGTGGTTCAGGCTTGGCCGGTGACAATGGACACGTCGCGTCTTACACTGCTGCACGGCTTACAGAGCATGTGCCCCCAACCCGGCCTTGTGTGAGCTTCACAGCTCTAGTGGTTATAATCGCCTTCACAGATCCTGAAAACAGGCTCAGAGGCTCAGTGACTGGAGCAACATCAAAGTGCCAGAACCAGACCTGGAGACCAGGTGTCCGCAGGCGTCTCCCCTCCCAGGCTGCTTTTGCTTCCAATGGACACATTCTGCATATCCCACCGCTCTGCCCGGTGACGCAGGCAGGAAGAAACCGCGCAGGTAAATCACCTTGCATTGCTCTTCTAGGCGGCTCATCCGGAAGTGTTTCTCTTCCCACCCTACTGAACCCTGGCTCCCCTATTAAAGCGGGGGCTGCTGAAAGCCAGGATGGAAACGAGGTAATGATCTCGAAGCCAAGCTAATGGAAGCGCTGCAAGACTTTCCACGGCTGGAAGAAACATCAGACTCCCCCAAAGTTCAGTGCCCACCCAGTTATTAAGGAAGCGGGATTAGCTTGCTGCGTGCAGGGGAGAAATCCCGGGGCAGGCCGTGGGAAAGCGGCTGGGATTGGGACGGTAGGCGGTAGGCGGCGGAGGGAAAGTCAACAGGATAGAAACGCAGAGCGCAAGGTTTCCAAATCAGCAGCGAGCGCTTTATACATCGTTACAGAGGTTTCCACCTCGGCGGGACATGCCGGGACCTCACCGAGGGACGCATGTTTCGTGCGCTGCTTCCTGAGGCGTCAGGGAAGGGGCACAGCCTCACCGGGGAGAAGGGCAGACGCCGGGGGCGGGGGGGGGGGGACGGGGGAGCCCCAGGTTCCCGGGCTTGCTAATTCTTTCCTATAGTCCATTCTGTTTTCTGTCAACAGTAAGGAAATACATCCTAGCAAATGACATCCAGTAATGCTTTAATTAACTGCAGTATTTCATGCTCCAATATGCACCAAGAAATTACTTCCAGATGGGGAAAACGAAAGCTATTTGCACGAAACACCAATCTCTCCATTTTAAGGAAACTGGTATCGCCCACAGGTATAGAACTGTACAGAACGCTGAGGGCCCGGGGCTGTCTGTCCTGACGGCCACTAGAATGAGCCTGGAGACGGCTATTTACGGTGTGAAATGCAGCAGTCCCCTCTGCAGCCAGTGTTGCATGTGCCGTGTCTCCCAGGCCTTGTTGATTGAAGTGGCCCGATGCAGCGCTGGCTCGTTTTATTTTTAGCGACCTCACTGGGGCGCAGACAAGTGTGAAACACTCGCTTTCACCCCCAAGCAAGCGGCACTTTGATCTCTCCTCCTAGGGAGGGGGACTGCACTTCCAGCTGTGAGCTTTTGGCATTTCCCGGGAACGTTCCGTAAACAGGGAACTAATTTTCCTTGCCCGATGGCAGCTCAGGATGAGCCGGTGGAACCTCCCTCGCACCCCTGGCATCGGGCTGCAGCCTCAGACCTGTCGCTCGCCCTGTCCGCCCGGGAACCGTCACCCTGGTCGCTGGCAGAGCTCTCAGTCCTGTTGGGTTCCGCTGAGGAGTCACCCTCGGCATGGGAGAGGGGGCACCCTTTTCTGGGAGGTGGGCAGGTCCTAGGACTGGTTCTTTGTCAAGAGGGGAGGAGTGCTGGTAGTCAGCCTCAATGCCACAGCTGAGCTTGGAGGTCAAAACAGCCCTGTCTGTTGTGGTTCCCTGCGACGACCAAACAGAACTTTCTCTAGCCTGGGCCTCGCCAAGCCAGCTCTCAGGAATTCTGTCCATAATAAGAGCAGCAGCGAACTCTTTTTCAATGACAAATTACTAATATTTATTTTAACCACCTAAGTGACTTCAACGTTTTTTTTAAAGGGCTACAGAAAGTCAGAGGAACGAACAGTATCTAAGTTTAGCTTAATAACAGTTAGCAACCGTTTTTACCAATGTCTGCTCCCTTATATTTGGAAGTGACAGTAATAAATAAGCTTTCTTTTGGGGTTGGCTCATCAAAACAGGAAGAATCCTCATCAGGATGGGACAGCAGTTTCTGGCATGGCCCCTCCTGTCAACACAAGTTTAAATGACACCTACTGGCTCCAGCTAAGGATCTTCACCATGTCGGCACCAGGTCAATTGCACAGGCATTTCACTTGCCTGGAGAGCCAGGAAAATCACACATTTATGAAGATGTGCCACGGGAACCGTTCAGGAAAGCAAGTGTCTCTACTGCAGTGATGTACACCGTGGCCCCTCCACAGTTACTCATCGAGAACCTCCCGGCGTCTGTGTTTGTAACACGAGCCCCAGGGATTGGGGTGCATTCCCTCAGCTGAGAAACGTGCTCTGTCCTCACAGGATGCACATGCAGCACTCCGACCCCATCAACGAGACATTTACCACACACTCCTGCTGACATCCGGGGACTCCCTGGAGATCACTGACAGTGTAATAAATCAAGAAAGCAACTTCCCTGGCTGTGACCACCAACCGGCGGAACACAGGGCTTGACATCTCAGCGCCACTACGGAGACATCCAGAAAATGACTCCCCATGAGCGAACCAGCAAGAAGTGTGGATCTGCAGACACCGAGCGTGACAAGAACCAGGTGCAGCAGCTCCCCGGCTTCCCAGGTCGACGACAGACGGCTGAACTGACTGCTGTCTGAGACGGGCCCACTGCCCCTTCCTGCACACGGGGCAGGGAACATGACCTCCATTAGTGCCGCTGTGTAACTTCACCGGAGCGGCGGGCACAGCGAGACCCACCCACTGAGCTGCACTCTTCCCATCTAGCCATCTTTTCCTAGTTGATCTTAGCAGAGGCCACACCTCTCTTCCATCACTCACTTCCTTCTCGGTGTTCTCGAGTCTGAGCTGCTCAGTACATGAAGACGCACTAGCAACAATAGCTGGAAGCGGGTGAAGAAACGAGGCCCAGGACGAAAGCTGGGCCACAGGCAGAGTCTGGGCGAGAGGCTGATGGAGGGGAAGGGGCAGGTGCAGTGGTTACAGTGGGAAGACAGAAGGGGAGACATAGGCAGGTTCTGGTCACATTTTCAAACCTTAACGTTTCCTATTGGATGGCTATCACAAGTTTTATGAAATTTTTAAAAAAAAAATGGACTTCAGAGAGGAAGAGAGAGAGAAACATTAACAATGAGAAAGAATCATTGATTGGCTGCCTCCTGCATGCCCCACACTGGGGATCAAGCCCGCAACCTGGGCATGTGCCCTGACCGGGAATCGAACCGTGAGCTCCTGGTTCATAGGTCGAAGTTCAACCACTGAGCCAAGCCAGCCAGGCAGTTTCATGAATTTTTAGGAAACGTCCTCTCTCCTGAGTGCTATTTGCTGCCCCAGTTTTATCCTGGGCCTGATGGGGCATCCTCTGTAAGAAGCTCCACCGCCCTCCTTCGCTCTCGCCCCCGCCCCCTGCCAACACCTCGTTCAGAATTCCTGAACAAACGCTGAGACTGACGGGTCTCTGAGGCCATGGTCACAGCCGACGGGAGGAACCAGGTGAACCTGGGCAACTCCGTTACCCGCCCTCTTGACGCGGGTGACGGGCGGACTGAAACAGTCCTGTGGGGCGATTCTCTCCTGCAAGCTGCGCTGGCCCGGCGCCCGTGGAGGGCAGGACGGTAGGGCCGGGTCAGGGTGCGCCTGGGCCCTGCCAGGTTCTGAGGTGGGGGTTAAGGTCAGTGCCCGCTCCTCAGGACCTGGGTTCTTTCCGTTGGTCATAAAGTAACACATCACTCTGGCCCCGCGCATCGCCTCTGCTGTTTTCAGGCGATCCTGCAACGTACTTTGGGTTTGCACATGGAGGGGCAGGAAAGGAATTAGAGGCCGCCTGGGCTGCCCCAGAGCTTCATCTAAGGAGAAAGCCTAGGACATTTTTCTAGGAAAAAGGCCACCCCTCCCCTCGAAGTCAGGCGTAGAGTGGGAATAAAGAAACGGAGGAAATAACCTTCTGTCAAGCAGTGAGTGCGCCCAGCCTGGAACTCTCTCCCAGTCAGACATGGGTCTGCCCCGCAGCCGGGCCAGGAGCCCAGGGCACAGGGGGCCGACACGTGCCGTCCTGGGTGAGAGACACGGGGGATCTTCTCGGATGCACAGAGAGAGCGAATTGGAGATGAGTGAGAAATGAGAATACAGGGAGAACCTGGCCAAGTCGAAAAGTACCAGAAGCAAAGTATGTACCCAAACTGGGATTCACACGAAAGAACGGTCCTGCTTCCATTTCCTTCATAAAGAAAGGCTGGTTTCCTACCCCTGCACCTGCCACTTCATGAACTCGGGCCCCAGAGCGCCCCTCAGACAGCAGCCGACGGAGGAAGGCGGAGACCCAGGCTTGGTCACCGAAGCTGCCTGGATGGGTGCACGTGAGGAAGAGGGCCCCTTGCCAGAGGGTGAGGCCGCAGAGGGAGGGAGGCTACGGAGTCCGTGACAACGGACCAGTGAGAACAGCCCAGAAACAACAGTGAAGGGCAGGGCCGCTCACCCAGCCTGCCTCTGCTGCAGGATCCAGAGCCACTGAGACTGCCTTCTGCTAACCGGGCCCTGATGGGGCTTTTCCGATTAGGACAGGAAGTAAGACAGGGCTTAGGAGACACACACTAGCAACCCAAATGTCCTGGGAAGTTTCAAGATGGACATCTGAGAGTCAGGCTGAGCACAGGAGGGTGAGGCTTCCAGGAGCCGGGCGCTGAGGGTCACTGGCCGGCGCCCCTACAGTCTCTTTTTAATTAGTTTCTCCAGTTTGCGGATGCGAGAAGACTCCTGTTCTGGTGTGGGAGCCAGCAGGGACAGTGAGCTGGAGGCTTCGGGCCCTGCGGGCGGGGTGGGGAGCCTCTGGCGGAAGAGTTCCAGCATGCTGCTCTGTTCGCTCCTCTTCAGCCCCTGAGGTTGAAAGAGAAAGGAGGACAATGTGAGGCGGGCCCAGGAAGGCCCGAGGGGCAAGTGTAGCATCTGGGATGCTCTTAGCTGAGGGCTGAGAACTCCAATTCCTGGGGGCTGAGGATTTACACTTTCTTCCTGGGGAGTTATCAGTCCTAGGCAGTAGCCAGGGAGAGAAGCAGGGGAACAAAAACAGGTACTAGGGTAGGAGAAAGAAGAGGCTGAGAGAGAAGAAAGGACAGGTAAACAGGGAGGGGAGGTAATATCCCCCTTCAGTCCATTCCTTCCACTGAGCAGTAGTTCTCCATGGGCGTGGAGGCAACCAGGAAGGTCATATGCCGGGATCCCTCTCCTTAAAAGGCTTCTGGGCATGTGGTTTGCAGCGTGGGGCCAGGCACCGGCATTCTGAGAGAGTTCCCAGGGCCCAGTTAAGAACCACGGGGTGTGAGAAGGCTGTGCATGTGGACCACACACGACCCTGAACTAACCTTCATGTCCAGTATCTTCTGGAAGGTTTCTGTGTTGCAGTCTGTAAGGAGTTTGATGTAGTTGTCAACAAACACCACCGAGGGCTCATGAGGGGCCATCACTACCTACAAGGGAGAGACAAGAGCAGGTTCTCAGGGGAAGCTCAGGCCAGAGGGCAAGTCTCACTTGCAAGCCGACCACAAAGTGGACTCTGCAAGATATCCTTCCAGCAGCAGCAACCTCAACGCAGAAACGTCCTGATGGCCTATTTCATCTCAACATGTTAGAGCCATGTTTCCTAAAGGTGCTGAATCATAAACACCTAGACTGCTCTTTTTAAAAAAATATATTTTGTTAATTGATTTCAGAGAGGAAGGGAGAGGGAGAGAGAGAGAGAGAAACATCAATGATGAGAGAGAATCATTGATTGCCTGCCTCCTGCAAGTCCCACACTGGGGATCGAGTCCAAAACCTGGGCATGTGCCCAGACCGGGAATCGAGCCGTGATCTGGTTCATAGGTCGATGTTCGACCATGCCGGCTGTGCTTTAAAAAAAATAAATAAATAAATTAT